TTATTGCAAGTTGGCAATTGTTGCAATAATACGTTAGTACCTTTTCTTTTGTTGTAAGCTAGATTGTGGTACTATTTTGCGACATCGATGAAACATGGAATTGCCGATAAAGGTAAAAAGCAATAATCTTTTTGGTACTTACACATTTGTTGCAAATATTGCCAACTTAATAAATGACTTGCCAAATTGGCAACCATATGCTTCATTTCATGTAATATTGCCAATAGGTTGCAATAATATGTAAGTACCATAGAAAATGACACTCCATTCAAACTAATTGGATTATCAGATTGCCAATATCATGATTTGAGTTTGAATTTATGATACTTACATGTAAGCGTCATCACAGCCAAATTGGCGCCATGCTAATCGCTCCTTGATATCAAAAGATTCTTACGTGTTTTTATATGAAAAAAAAATCAGCTGGATTTTGTTGGGATATAGTATGATTTGTGTGTGCTTAGTTCCAGTTTGGCTGTGATGATGCTAATATGTAAGAACACGAAGGCTAATATGAATTTTTATTTACATATGACATTTTCTGACATATTTTATTTTTGTTCTGAGCTGTTTATGGTATTTTCGTCAAAATTAGACCTTGATTTTTATATTTGAGGTTGCTTCTTGGGTTCAATTAATATCATAATTTTTACTATATGTAAGGTTGCTTCATATATATTTATGCTTATTTTCTATCTGTTTTAATTTTTCATGTTTAAGACTTTCTGTGATTTAAGTCATCAGAGATTCTTAAGCTGGGAAAGAAATGACTATATTAAATCTAAAACCAAAAACACTACAGAAGAATCAAATGTATACATATAAAGGTCAAAATGAAAATAGAATAATAAACCTGACACAGCCTTTAATCAAAATAGGTATTACAATATGACTACATACAAAATAAATCAAAAATTTTTAAGCTGAAAAGAAATGACAGAATTAAATCTAAACCCAGAATAATCATACAAAATATAAGCAAAACAATGTATATTAAACTAATTTAGTTATTGAAAAATATATAACAGGTTTAGCTGGAAGACTGATGCATCTTTCTATCAGAATACAGTCTTAAAAAAATTAGTCAGATTTTGGTGGATATAGCGTGATTTGCTTTGTGCCAATTGGTTGTGGTGATGCTAATATGTAGAATACAAAGGCAATACAAATTTTATTTATATATGAGGTTTTCTTTTTGTTAAACTGAAATTAGTGATGCTATCAATCTGCAGTTATATTTAGGCTATGCTAGCGTGAAACTAAGTCAGCATGACCATTTGGTCAAAAAAAATAGGTATTTATGTATTATTCGCAACCTATGATGGCATTATATGAAACGAAGCACATGGTTGCCAATTCAGTGTGGACAACACATAGGAAATTATTGCTGTTGTCAACTTGATGAGTTATTAATAGAGTTGGCAATTGTTGCAATAATACATAAGTACCAAAAAATCTTCCTATAATATTTCAGTTCTTACATATTATCGCAACCTATTAGAGACATTACATGAAACAAAACACCATGGTTGCCAATTTAACGCGTACAACACATGTGAAATCAGCGTTGCCAACTTGGCGAGTAATTTTGAACAGTGGCATTCGTCAATAAAATCTTAAGTTCCTACATTTCTTCTGTTAAAAAAGGGTACTGTTTTTCCTGATACTAATGTATTAGAGTCACTACAGTCAAAGTGGCTTTTTTCACCAAAATTTGATTTTTTTCCCATATAAGAATCTGTTATTTTGATATTGTGGTGCAAATTTTGCTGCAATGACGCCAATACATAAGTACCATTTTCCTTTATAGGCAGATTCCATGTTTTTCCATTGTAACAAAAAAAGTAGAAAAATGCAACTGAAGAAAATGACACTCAATTCAAACTAATTGAGATTAACAGATTGTCAATATTGTGATTTTAAAGTTAGAATTTCTATTCACGTATAAGATTTTGCTTATGGTAGTTTCATCAAATCTTTATTTAAAGTAGCTTTTGTTTGAATTAATATTATAATTTCTATACTATATGTAAGGTTACTTTATATTTATTTGTTTCTTTTATTTCAATTTTAAATATTTAAGATTTGCTGCTGTGTGTTTTTTTTATTGTTCAAAACTTTATGGCAATTTTATCAAAATTAAGGCTTACTTTTTCTGTTTTAGATAACGTTTTAATTTAAATTGATGTTATAATTCTATTTCAGTGTCACAGTTTTATTTTTTCTGAACTATCCTTTTCTTGCGTATCATTGTTGGTGCAGTAATTATGTGATACAAAGACTCACACACACACAAAAAGTCTACTTTTCAGCCTAATAATAATTTGTGAGGCCTTTTGTAACCAGAATCTTCGATCATGATTACCTATTCATGACACAAATATCAAAGGGGTTTTTTTTTACAATCAATGAAACTACACCTTCACTTCTCACCAGAATTTTTTTTTTGTCATGTCCATTTCTTCACAAAAAAAAAAACATCTGTTAGAAAAATTATGGATGAACACGGAGACTATGGATGCGATTAAATGCTCATCAAAGTAATTTTCCTTCTGACAAATCTGTTCATATGCAGATTGTATATATACACATGCATTGTATACATTTTTTACATATAAATGTTGTATGTTTTACATATCGATGCCATTTTCTGTTGTTGAAGATAAATATTCATCCTTACTAATAATAATTTCTTCATCAGCATGTTCAATATTTTGTTCAATGTAGAGAATATTACTTAAAATATAACAAAGAAAATGACACTGAATTCAAACTAATTGTTCTTAACATGTTGGTAATATCGTGAAGATAATGCTTCATATTTATGAGGAACCAGTATGTATCATGTTTTTTTTTTTTTTTGCGTGTCGCAGTTTTTTGCCTTATGGTCCTTATGACCGATACGAATTCATCTTTGTTTAAATGAGAAAAAGTCATAAATTTAACAAAAAGCTATTTGCTGAAACTATGATAAGGTGACCTTGAATAATATTCTCATATTTTCTTTGGAATTCCATTTTGACCAGATTTTTCGTCATGACTTAACTTTGTTTCTGGCAATCTTGCAAATCAGAAAACTGTATCAGGTGTGGTCGCAAAAATGTTTGCACAGAAAAAGGATGCACCTTGAAAAGATTTTCTCATATTTCCCTCTGGGTTTCTTTAAAATTCAGTGTTGAAATGATTTTACGTTGCTTCTGATAATCTGTTCCTCGCGTAGTTTCTTGGAGATCATATGCATATTTTATGTTATCATACTGTCCATATACGATATGTATATTTTTAATTATTACTATAGTTATTTATCATTGTATGTACTCATTCTTTTGCTCTTTGCAATCAAATTGTAATTTTTAATAGAAATATTGCAAAAAAGTATTGTTTTAAGAATGTGTTTTTTAACAATATGGTTTATTATTTGTTTCATTTAGTACTGTTGTTGGTTCTGGACTATTTCAACGGGGACCTGTTTTAGGTAGATTTTAATTTTAGTTCATACTAATTAAATTTTTTTAGTATTGAATTACATCTAATACTCTATATTAGATGTATTGCAGAGATGTTAGATAGTATTATATGAGGTATGGTACAATGCTAATTTAATTTTTTTTTTCAGTTGAAGGCTTTCTAATATTTTTTATTTATGATAGCATTTAGTGAATCAGTTTATCATCATTCATTTTTTCTTTCGGTTCATCTATTGCAGGTTGTTTCACCCATAGTTCCCATAGCAGAAACTTACAACTGCTATCACTTTTTCTTTAATAATTTTTATTTATATTTGCATTCATTCATATCTATTTACTCTTCAACTTGCTAATTTTCTCTCTTACATTGAAATATTTGTTTTTGTTAAATTATTATTTACTTTGAGGCAAAATTGCAATTTGTTTAAAATTATTTATAGTGAAAACATTCATTTGAAAAAAAATATTTTTAATTTTTGGTTATGCTACTTTTTTCATACAGGGTTTATCCTCACTAAAATATTATAATTGCTATAATAGATGAATTTATGTTTTTAACACTTAACCCGTGCGAAGAACGGGCATTTCAGCTAGTATTTAATATAAGTAAATTCTGTAACTATTTTGTATATATCACAATACTTTTACGAATATTTTAACTATATTTTAGCTAATTATATGGTAAGAATTCTGTTCTTCAAAAATTTCTTCCAATGTTCTACTTAAACAAAAACATTTTCTTGAATTAAAGTACCATTATTTTTATTCTGTATATTCAGACAAACAATGTTTTCTGATTGCTATTTACATCTAACAAGGGCACGACTAAGGAAATTTATTTTGGGACGAGACTTGGTGTGTGTAATAGTAATACTCCTTTAGTGTGTTCACAACCATGAATGTATTAGCGCCGAATGGCCAGTCAATTCGGAGAAAGTAGCCTTCGAAATTCATGCTCAGCTTTTATACTTTTTAGTTTTAATTACCCTCAGCTCTGCGGTGGTTTAGTTGGTAATACACCGCTCGGATAGGGTTCGAGTCGAGTGATCAACTTCTTTTTTCCAATTCATTTAATTATTTTTTAAATTAAATGCATTTATTTGAAAAAGGTTTATTAAACATTAAATGATATTTTATGTAATTATTTTGTATTTTATAAAGTAAAATAATTACTGTAGTAATATAAGTGTTTATATTATATTTTATAAAATAGATTTTTATATTAATAAATAATATTTATAGTAAAATATTTTATAAAAAATATTCAGTGATATCTTCTATAAAAATTAGTTATAAATAGTTTTATAATATGAAAATACAATATATTTTCAATAAAATATTATATATAATATAAAATAATTCATAAAATATATTATAATTAAATTAGTTATTTTAGAAGTAATATAATAAAAATAAAATATGTCTTTGTTATACATCATTAATTTAATTATTTTATAATTATAAAAATATTTCATAAGTTCTTTTTAAATAAATTTATTTAATATTAAAAAAATATTTAAGTGAGTTAAAAAAGGTTGATCTCGGTATTTGAACCCTATCACCTGCGTAGAAAGCAGGAGCGCTACCAACTATGCCACTGCGTCACTAGAAACCTTATTGCTTAAAAGCTAAGCATAAGTTTCGAAAGCTATTTTCTATAAATTGATAGGCCTTTCGTCGCTTATACATTGAGGGTTGAACACCCTAATGGAGTACTACTATTACACCAAGTCTCGTCCCAAAATGAATTTCCTTAGTCGTGCCCTTCCCTTGAAAGACTGACTCGATTAAAAAAATTCTTTGACGCATTTGAGACGGAATACTTTACACATGCAAAAAATATGACAGATTCTGAAATAAAAAAATATTTTTTATAAAGATGTTTTAATATATATATGAATATAAAAATATTTTGCGTGTGTATGTGTAAGTTTAATTTTCAAGTTCACTTGACAGTAAACGAAGCATAATATTAAAAGGCAGAAGGCTTATTATAAAGAACATATTATTCTTAATCATTTTGGGAGAATACGAATTTTAACTGAAAAATGAACAATAATTCTTTGTATAGAATCTTCGGAAGACATATTCGTCTTAATAGAATACGAATCGAATACGAACAGAATTCGATCACAATAAAAAGAACCTTTCACTCCAATTCAGCATTTTGATAACATTTAATTTCTAAATTATAATTTAATTTTAAATTTCGCAAAAATTTCTTTATTATTGTACACATATAATTTGACCATTTCAATAATAGAATTTTACTTGGAGTTCTTAGATTCTTATAATAATACAAAACCTCTATTAAATTTTTTGTGGTAACAATTATAATTATATATATCCTGACTTTTTGAAAAATTAAGAATTAGAATGGCTGTCACTATCCGATTGATATTGTTTAGAGAAGCTAATACATGTTAAATCTGCTTGGCTTATAGCCCTAAGATTGGCATAATATGGAAGTTAGGTGAGTAAGATCCCAGTTCAGGTGTCATCCTCGTCTCTTAACTGTAATTCGAAATTACGAGATTCGTCACTAATAGCCCTCATGTTGCTTTGCAATGCGACTGAAATAAATAATGAATCAAATCTATTCGACTGATTATATAGATGAACTTGTATGCATTGTTTTCTTGATATTTTTTCTTCGATATATTGTTAATTATTTACACGTAATAAATATCGTAAAGACTATAGAACTCTGTCAATCTTCTATAATTTTCCAAAACTGAAACGTAGTTTTTAAAATTTTCTATTAAATGGTTATTTTTTTAAAAAAATATAGCATATATTCTTTGAAAATTTAAGCCCAAATATGTAAATGCTATCTTTGATGGTAAAAACTGCAGAGTTGCAGGATTTTTTATTTATTTTCAAGCATGTATATTTACAGATTAATAGAATAGAATCGCGATTTTTTCAGATAATTTAAATTACTAATTAATTTTATTTAGCATTAGAATTTTTTCTCTTTCTTTATATTAACTGTTTGTTTTATTTAGTTAGATTAAAATATATTCAAAATTTTTTCATTAATTCCTATCCACATCCCTTGAAAATATTATAGATAGCAATTTTAAAACCCATTTTTTGTTCAAGAATTCGAACAACGAAGAAAGAAAAGTTTCAATTTCAACTACAAGATGGCGTTGTTAGTCAGAATCTCGTAAAATAGAGCCGTGTGAACAAAAGCATTTCTTTGACAATATTTTTGGTTAAGAATAGCTGGTAAAATAATTCGGAATTAATGATTTTATACTAAATACTTTCCGAGAAATAAATCTCCCAACACATGAATTGAGCTTTGAATTATTTAATGGAAGTTTTCTTTCTTCGAAGTAAAAATTTTACCAAAATTAATCATCGATCTCAGTGAAGAAGGAGATACTATTTAATAAATTCTAAGAGAAATAAAACTCCGTCAATTTATTAGATATTTTAAGTACTTTTGATTTTATTCTAAAATGTTCCGATGGGATAAAGAATATAAATGAAATGAAAAATTATATTGAAAATGAAAGTACTATTTTTTGTTTCTGATTTTTATGTTCGATATCTCACTAAGCAATATAAATAGTATTATCATATTTTCTTGATTGGATTAATTTAATGAAAAAATAAAGCCTTTTCTCGATTTCTGATATATTTTTATTATTGAACAGAATGCAAGAATAATACTCTAACGTAGAATTTAGTTAGAAATGCAAAATATATATTCATTCAAAATTAATTATTTAGATCTGTTAATTTTCAGTGAGCTTGGAGTTTACTAGAGGCGCTTTTGATTCATAATACATTTTGTTTTCTAGCTTGTAAAATCATTTATTGTATATGATCATCATAAAAATAAGTCACACTTATAAAATACGCCAATCATTTACGAAATTTATGAGAAAAAGGGCTTCCATGACAAAATATAAATAATTAAATTACACATGGAAACATTTTAAAAACGTTTAATTTCGCATTGTATACATGGAAAAGTTTTCAAAATGCACATACATAATTTCACTGCTACTCATTGTAATCCGAAGCGCTCATCTTTCCTGCGATGAACAAGTTCAACATCGCTTTAGTCACTTGAAAATACAATTTCAATTGATTTATTTTTTTGGCACCATAAAGTAAGTGATAAGTTTTTGTGACGAAGGTCGGTTGGGTCAGTTGTTTGTAAATGTCACGATAACCAGATATGCAAGCTCTTTTTGGAATTTCATACTCCTTTTTCGGAATTGGTATCTGTTTTAAAAAATGCTTTTCCAATTTGTTGGAAAACTGTATCCCTGCATATTATATTTCATCAGCTCTCAAGGAATCCGGTTTTTCTTGTCCGTCTTCATAATCTACCAAATTATTGATGTCACTGTCATTGAAAGTTTCTTCTTTAACCAAGCGCGAGCTGCTGGCGCGTTGAGAGAAAGCAACTGAACATGCATTGTCGGGAGTCTGCTTATAACAATTGAAGGAGCGTCTTGAAGTGTATATATGTACATTGCAATGGCGTAACGTAACCTCCCGCAATCCGGGACTCTAGGGGGTTCAAGGCATGATGCTGTGGCGTAACCCCACCTCGCATGGAGAGGGATCAAAACTTTTGGGGGGCCCTAGGCCTGACTGACGCCAAAAACGTATTTACCTAATTTATAAAATATTAAAGGCAAAACCTGACTTGGCAGGCGGGGGGGGGGGAGACCAAACATTCTCCGTTACGCCCTGGTACATTGATAGAAAGCAATACAGTGGCGCCAAAGCCGTTGAAATTCATATACCACATAAAATATTGCACAGAAAAATCGCACAAAACAGGACCGCACAAAAACAGGCTCTACTGTATATTCAGTTCAAATTTGGTGTCATTCTGACTAGTGGTTATGACATTCGGCTTGTAATAGAGTGGGCTCGGGTTCGAATCCCGAATAAGGTATGTGGTTGTATCTTCGGGAAAAGAAGTCGGACTTTCGCGTGAAAAGGATTCCCGTCTCGAATGAAAAGCAGCTCACCCCATCTGTTCTATGCTGGAATCATAGTTTGTAAAGTAAAGTCTATGTTCTTCTGTGTTTGTACTGTATGTTTCTGTCTATCCCTCTTTCGTTTTTCACATGTATCCCGGGATAAAATACACAACAACAACAACGGGAAAGTCATTACTGTTTTGAGTCTATTTGCAAAAGTCTTTAAAAGTCACAAATATAATCTTTATAAGATCTAATGCAATCAAGTTGAGCCCACTGAAAACAGTTGAAGCATTGAATCCAAATTTACCCTCTTTGGTCTTCGGAGAATTTTCCGTTACGGAAGATATATTCAGCGTCTTTATTTCCTGGTTCTAGATGATGACACGAAGTCTATTACAAATGATGCATCAGAATGGAACGATTCATTGCTGCATGCAGTGGCGTAACGTAGGCCCCGCATTACGGTAGTCCCAGGGACTCTAGAGGGCCCAAAGCCTGACTAACACTAAGTCCATATTTGGGCTCGGGGCCCATAATCTGAGTTTACAGGGGAAGGCCTTAATATTTTCCGTTATGCCACTGGCTGCACGTCGGATATTATAGAGAATACCTAGTATTCCATAATACCTGCACGTCATCATGGAAAATGAATCTTTAAAACTGAAGTACAAAACAGGTTACAAACTACATTTCTTTTTGTGTACAGTATGCTTAATGTTCAAGTCACATGTGTACTAGTAGGGTAAAGTGTTTGAAACTCACCTGCAAAAAATTTGAAAATCGAAAAACACTTTGTTTTGTAGCGAGTGGTATGGAAACTGCAAAAAGTGGCCACATCTCATTGCAATGCATTTTGAGAGACTTTCTTCAGTAGTGCAAAGCATTAAGAGCTACAAACATAGCCAAGACCTTGGTATTCCATATTACCCGACTCTCATCTACATATACATTCGACTCTCGATATTCAAACCTTCGATAATACGAACCTCTCGATAATTCGAAGTATATGCTCAGTCCCTAGAAAACTCTTGATATTTCGAACTAAAACAATACGTTTTGGTACACTCGATATTTCGAAGTAAAATCTGTGGCTGGCCGAACTACAACACGCTATAATTCGAAGTTATTTTATAAAACTCTCGACAATTCGAACACTCACTTTCATGTGCAATATTATGATAAGCAGGTTTGAGCTTACAAGTTTTGCATTGTCTCTGTGTCTCCCCTGTAACATAGCCCCATTGATAACCAACTGTCTAGTACCCCTTCTTTGTGTTTTCCGGTTCCTCAGTGAAAAGACACATTTTGTTTTCGTTCCCTTAAGTGGACAATAGACCAATTGCACCTGTTGACAGTTGCCCACATCTGTCGTTCAACACATGACCGTGCTGCACATGCGTTCAGAAAGATTGGTCCGCTATTCTGAAAAAGAAATGCATGTGATTGTGTATGAATATATTCTTTAATACAGGACTTTTAACTTGAACAATTGTTGTTTTATTACATAGTTTCAAATTTAAATATGTTAAAAAATTTATCTTCGTATATTTTGGGAATTTTTTCTACCTCTTGACAGTGGCGTAACATACACACCCGCAACCCCCGCACCGCGGGGCGGCCCGGACTCTAGGGGACCAAAA